ACCAAATACATTTTTAAAGGAAAAATTCTTACCAGAAATACATTTTTGAAGGAAAAAATCTTCCAGAAATACATTTTTGAAGGAAAAAATTTACCAGAAATACATTTTTAAAGGAAAAAATCTTACCAGAAATACATTTTTGAAGGAAAAAATTTTACCAGAAATACATTTTTGAAGAAAAAATCTTACCAGAAATACATTTTGAAGGAAAAACTATTACCGGAAATACATTTTTGAAGAAAAAATCTTACCAGAAATATTTTTTGAATAAAAAAAATCTTACCAGAAATACATTTTTGAATGAAAAATATTACCAGAAATACATTTTGAATACGAAAATATTACCAGAAATACATTTTTGAATAAAAAAAAAAAAGGATCAGAAATACATTTTTGAAAGAAAACATCTGACCAGAAATACATCTTTGAAGGAAAAAATCTTATCAGAAATACATTTTTGAAAGAAAACATCTTACCAGAAATACATCTTTGAAGGAAAAAATCTTACCAGAAATACATCTTTGAAGGAAAAAAATCTTACCAGAAATACATTTTTGAAGAAAAAAAATCTTACCAGAAATACATTTTTTGAAGAAAAAATTTTATCAGAAATACATTTTGAAGGAAAAGTCTTACCAGAAATACACCTTTGAAGGAAAAAATCTTACCAGAAATACATTTATAAAGGAAAAATATTACCAGAAATACATTTTTGAATACAAAAAATCTAACCAGAAATACATTTTTGAATAAAAATAATCTTACAGAAATACATTTTTGAAGGAAAAAATCTCACTAGAAATACATTTTTTCAATCAAAATTTTACCAGAAATACATTTTTGAAGGAAAAATATTACCAGAAATACATTTTGAAGGAAAAAATCTTACCAGAAATACATTTTTGAATAAAAAATCTTACCAGAAATACATTTTTGAAGGAAAAAAAAATCACTAGAAATACATTTTTGAATCAAAAATTTTACCAGAAATACATTTTTTGAAGGAAAAATCTTAGAAATACATTTTTGAATTAAAAATTCTTACCAGAAACACATTTTGAATGAAAAAATCTTTTATAAAATACATTTTGAATACAAAAATCTTACCAGAAATACATTTTAATGAAAAAATCTTACCAGAAATACATTTTAAAAGAAAAAAAATTTACCAGAAATACATTTTGAAGGAAAAACTATTACCAGAAATACATTTTTGGAAAATATTACCACCAATAAAAATCTTGTCGGCATTAAATAAACCGTTGAGGTTGATATGCCGTAATCAAAAACAAACCAAACAGAACCAAGATGGGTTATCGCTTTGAATACGAGGTGCTATTAGCTTGGATGTAAAGGGTGGTGCAATGGCTTGGAATTGTTAATTGGAGCTGAGTTCCAATTCTCGTTGGGTTCGTTTTATTCACTTTCGCACTTTTTGTGAATACGCTTGGGAACAAATAAATTCACCTCTTCCCCCTCAGCTATGGGTTAATTAGTAAAATTGCCTCACTAGATCATTTTTATCTAAAATGCTCTTACAATCTAAAAATATTTTCTGGCTTTAAATAACCTACAATATGATGGTAGGCTCAAAAAAGTTGAATCAGTTAATTTATCAGTTAGTTTCATGATAAGTTCTACCCACTTACTTCGATATTCGGAGGAGTAATGAACAATACAAATTTAAGGAACTTTAAAACCTACGTTATTTAATGTACCCGCACAAACCGAAAATAAACATGAAGTAGAAAAGTAAACCGAATCAATAAACATTGAAACAGGTATATTTTTTAAAGGGTATATTTTAAAAACATTCCAGCATTTTAAAAAAATAACCACGTTGAGTCCCAATAACCATTTCTTCTGTTGTCATGACTTAAGGAAACTATTTTCTAGAACCATTATATAATAATTTCAATGTGACTTATATAGAACTGAAAACATAACCTCTTGGTCTCACGATTTTTGTATTAGGTGTTCTGCGATTGTAGACCCCAGACAAGGAAACGATGATCTTGTTAACCTTTTCTGATGGACGCCCGACATACTGAGCAATTCTCATGAAAAAAAAGTTGAATGGTCCTTCCTATGTAGTCAGCATCACACTGAGATATAAATAAATTATATAACTAGCATTAAAGATATGTATTCTTGCGAATCATTTGTTAGTTTGTTCTTCACTGAGTGTTCAAAAACTGTATCTTTGTCTTGGAGTATTTGGTTGCGCATTCATTGTCAGCTTGTAAATGCTTTTTTCGTGCCTAATCGGAATTAGTCTTAAATATTGCAAACGAAACAAACTGTTGATCGTCGTAGAAATGACGATAAATTACATCCGCGCCCTGGGTAAGACTATAAACTACGTCCAAAGCAATGCCTCTGATCAGGAGGTTTTGAGGATATGAGAACCACCTCTTAATTGCTGGTGTTCCCAGGTCCAGATGACCCGTGGTGGTAGCACCTGTAAGGTTTAACTATGGGCAAATAGTTAACCCCGAAACTGAAGTAAAAATAGGTTTTAATACCAGGAATACTTATCAGCCATAAATTTTTTTGATAAAAATCTATTAACAGCAATACATTTAAAAAAAAATATATTTAGAACAATACGTTTTTTGAAAAAATATTACCAGTACTACTTTTTTGAAGGAAAAATTATGACCAGAAATAGATTTTTTGACAAAACAAAATATTACCAACAATAAAAAACTTTGTTGGCATTTAATAAGCATTTCTGATCAGGAGGTTTTGAGGAGCATGGAACCAGCTTTAATTGCTGGTGTTTTCCTATTTTTACCCTGACCTGGGGTGGTAGCACCTGTTAGGGGTCCATCTATGGGCAAATAGTTAACACCCAAACTTGTGTAAAAATAAATTTTAATACTAGAAATACTTTTAATAAAAAAAATATAGAGCAATAATTTTTTTTTGGACAAATTATTATCAGGAAAAACATGCCAGCAAAATACACAGACATTATTATTCTTTTGAAAAAAAATATGATTAGCTATAGATTTCTTCAAGGAAAAATGTTCCAAAAATTAATATATTTTGAAGAAAAACACATTACCAGCAATAAAATTTTGAAAGTTATATAACCCATTGAGGTGTTGATATGCCGTCAAAAGAAGCCAACTAACTCATTGTATCGAATTTCGAGATGTAAGATTTGCGAGATGTAACCGCAAGTTCTATTCAGATAGTTTCTTCTTTCACACTTTTTGCATGTGGAACACCTCCCAGCTTTTTATTTGTGAACTAAGAACTTTAAAAATTTAATCGTGATATCAATTGTTATCTTTTGTCGCCTTAAATCCTGTTTTTTTTTATTTTCCTCTTTTTTCAATTATATTTTCCCTGCTTCTTTCACTCTCAGCAACCCCGTGTATCTGAGGTGAAGCCATAAAGGTATGTTCAAAATATTTATATGTCGTCATTAAATAACCCACAGAGGTGTTGATATGCCGCTAAACAAAATCAAACACTCAGCCAATCGATCGAATATTTTCTACAGACATGACATGGAACATTTATATCGAATGAATTGCTAAGTCAGCTAACAAGAAAGTTTGGCTTCATTTCTTTCTTTCTTTTTTTGCTAGATAATTTTTGAGTTGAAGCCATAAAATTATATTAAAAATATTAAGATGTCGGCATTAAATAACTCACAGAGGTTTTGATATGCCGCTAAACAAAATCGATCAAGAAAGCAATCGATCTAATGTTTTCCACTGACATGACATGGAACATTTATATCGAATGAATTGCTAAGTCAGCTAATAGAAAAGTTTGGCTCCCTGTTTTGTGCTAGACAATTTTTCTCATCGGAATTAATCTGTGAATTGATCATTGCATGCACATTGAGTCTGGTGCTTCGTTATGTATCTAGAAATTCTTGACAAAATCCAACAAAAAATCTACAATGTTAATGGTCCTGATCTGACATCTCGGCTTTAATCATGTTCAGACCGCCGTAACTTAACTTTTCCTGCGTCTTTTCTATAAATATATTCA